TTGCGTAGCTCCTATACAAAGAACGGTAAACTTCTAATATTCTAATATTAAAAGGGTGCAGTACGATTCGTATGTTTGTTCCAGGATTTGCTAGACTATTGTCATAGTAATGTAGCGTTGTAGATCTGGATTGCTACACAGGGAGAGCTACACAATGATAATACGTAAATTGTATTATTATAGTAAACCCAATGAAGTACCAAAAGGCACACACTAAAGTTTAAACCAAAAGTGACGGAAGTACAAAGTGTGGGGATTTTTCTTTAAAAAAAATTAAATAAATCACGAATTTATTTATCGCTATCACTGGACAGGAAGTTTTAATTTAAGAGTCTTATTTACGAAATATTTATTTATATATATTACTTATTCTTCGTCTTCAGGGTGAATTACTTCATAGCATATACCTACCTGCTACTTGAATTATATTATTTTAGAATGTAGTATCATTATTCAAGTTTTATTGAATTTTGCATCCATCCTGTAGTCTGGTTGTCATCGTGTATTTTGTAAGTAATTTAAAATTATCTAGGTGAAGTTTTAATAGACAGAAATAAAATTAATTTCTTTAAGATATATGACATTTGTTTAAAAATGTGTAAAATTCGCAATGCTCTGATAAACGAAGAAACGCAAAAAAACAGAAACAAAAAAAGAACTTACCCGATAAAAAAATCCGCGCTATGAAAATAAATCCAGCCGCATTGACGAGCGGATGCGTAATGTCCAAAGTGTGATTGGCGCCGGCGTCTTCTATCTAATACTTTAACACACTGCGCAATCTAACGTGCACTCGTAGCCGCTAAGTGCGTGAGCTCAGGATCGTATAAAGGCGACATCCTTCGTTGCCCCCACTACATCAGAAGCTCGTCGAGACTTCTGCGCACGGCCGTGGCCATGCAAAATGAACAACACATACCGTGTATTATCATAAAGTACATTGAAAATTCATACACTTCAAAACGCTAGAATTATGTTTTAGCAATTTTCCTTTATACGTAAATATAAATATGTTTTTCGTCATGACGAATTATATACATAAATATGTTAGAGGAAAGTGAATGCCATTCTGTGGACTTTTGAAGCAATCTTAAAAAAATCGCCCATCTCGATTTAATGGCTAATAAAAAATAACTGATACGAAATGTTTAAAACTCAAATCATATAATCATATATACTGTTTGAGTGAATGTTTTTTGGATTGTTCTAATTTTAAATTACTAACATAAAATGATTTTATCAAATTTGGTACCTATAATACACACCCTTAATAAAAATAACCAAAGAAAAATGTAAATTACATCGTAGATAGAAATCAGCTCATTACCCAAGAGACTATAACGAGGTACCTTCACTTGGGGTAAGGCGCCATTGAGTTCTGACTAAAAAATATCAATTTCCTCTTTCTAAATTCATATGGAAGTGTGTAGAATCGATGAGGGGTTGTTCTACTTCATTGTCATATTTAAGAGCGAGGCTCTTATCGGTGTACTCATTCAACTTACGCAGTAATTAATATGAGGCCGGTCATATATTATGATGTGCACTGCGACCTGACTGCGCCTTACAATTTGTTTGAAAACGTATTTACTAAAAGAACGCCTCAGCTGTGTCTGAAACTTTTAATGACGTTAGATGAAAAAGTAAGGGGCCGAGTCGGTATCCCTATATTTTCACATTTTTTTGGGCAGAATTTAATCATTTCTGATTTTTTACATGTTTCTCTTATTTAATTTGCTATTTTTTTAGATAGAGAGACAGAAAGAGAGAGAGAGAAATAATAAATAAATAGCAAAGAAACTATTTATTTATTATTTCTATTGCTCTCTTCAAAAGACTGAAACAACGTGTTTTCCTAAAGTATAGAAGCGGGCTTATATAACCCCATTTCATAAATCAAATTCGTCTTTATAGAAAATCACGGCGCTGCTCCAGAGCAAAACCTGATAAGGGACAATTTTTTTTTTTTTTTTTTTTCAATTATTTTTAACGGAACCATAGTAAGTACTCACCTAAATATTTGTGATAACTGCTTCAAAATTGTACAATTTATCAGAGATTACGACGCCTTAAAACATAGCAGTATTTGAGACTTGCTAATAGGTGAATTAGTTAAAGCGCCTTGTTAGATATTTGAATTGGCAGTTAGTGGACAATAAACTTTACTTATACCGAAAATCTTTTAAAACGGAAAATTTAATTAGTCAAATATAATCAAATTTCTTCCAAATTTTCTATTAAAATAACTAAATCAAATACCTAGACAATGCTTAACACTGTTTTGATTTTCGCTGCTACAGTAACTTATGTATACATTATAAATATTCAATGTTAGTAAGGGTATAAAATATGTAATATATAAGTAGTGAACATTTTTGTGACATCAATAAATTCGTTGATTGGTACCTTATCTAATACTATTCCCTTTTTAGATTAAAAGTAAAATTGTTTAAGAGCGCCTTTCATTTATGTTTTTGGGCTTTCCCGTAAAATTTTGTCTAAAGCACTTACTAGGTTTTGTTATGGGGTAGCCGATCAGAATACAACTATTATCCGCTAATTCCCAGTCGTCACCACTGGCTTTGTTTCCACTGGCGACAAATGGGAAAAAACCCATATGTTACAGTTACCAATAGGGCAAGCACGATAGGGCGCGACTAGCGCGAGAGCGAGAGCACTCTCGCGCAAGTCGCGCCTTATCATGTTAGCCCCACAGTTGGTGACAAATGGGATATGCGGATGGATGAGATGATTTCAAAATTGAGAAAGTCATCATACGATTTCAAATGCACGTTTGAAGTGCATTTGAAATGATGAATGTTTATTCATCATTACAAAGTCACCATCGGCAGTCACAACATATGAGATTATTTCCCCTGTAATAAATAAATAAAACATCTGAACTTTAAAAAAAATAACGTCATACAATGAAATTCGTTAATTTATTTACTTAGTTTGCAATAACTTAATAGGAACAGGGGGCCTACTATGAGCTTAACCGGCCAGCCAAGTTCCATGCAATTCATTGACGTGGTAAAACTGAATTGCTTAAATTCATATCATGACCTTCACAAAGTTGAACGGGAATGGCATGACCATAGATCATACACTATGGCATAACAGGATAATGAATTTGACTTTTTAAACGTTAATTATTGTCTCTGGCTGGCTAGCTGACATCTAACAAGAGCGAGATGGAACTACATACTACATCATATGAAAGAAATAGACAGTTGTACTATCTTGGGAGCGTTCAAGCACTATTAACCGATTGTGTTCAAAATAGTTTATTTATTAAATATTTAGTAATTTTATTATCAATTATACTTATTACAATGTTTTGTAATAACGGCAACTTTTCAATCATACTTTACAATTTGTCGTACGACAAAATTACATGTCATGTTTAGTCATTATAATTGAAATTAATAAGCCGAGTTTGTAATTTGATAACATAATTGGAATGCATCTTGTATTCGTACATTTTCGTTGATTACAATTATTGTCAAATTTAGCACAATTTAAAAGTTATTTTATGATTTTCGGTCAATAAAATTATTAAAATTCCATTTCAAAATTGCAATAACATTCATGCCAATAATTTATCAATAATACTTTTAAGATTGGTAACTCAAACTAAAATTTTCAAAAAACGCTCAATACTTAATAGTATTTAGATAGCCTAAAAAGATAAAAATAATTATGAACCTAAAAATGTAATAAAACTTAAAAATGTAAATTTCTTCAAAACGAAATTTCTTAATAATGTAACAAAATCGAAGAAAAAGTTAGTCACCGGTCACGGAGTAACTTTTTGAATTGCTTATTGATACGATTTTGCTATGAAAGAAAAGGTGAACGGATTTCGAATGGGGAACGTAAACTGTATGGACCGTGAATTGTTTTTGTGAGTTTGACAGGCAATCCAACTTACAGGCTTAAATAGGATTGCTCTAAGAGCTCATAGTAGGCCCCCCAGGAGTGACATTTACATGGTCACTTCCATTTTTTTTTCCCAAACTGACATTGAAATAGGTACTTGAACACGTATTTCAATAAACATAAAAAACTGCAAAATATGAAGTACTTAACTTAGTGCCTACCCACTGTGTATTTTACGTTTGTAAAATTATCACTTTCTAAAAGTAGGTTTATGTTAATACGTAGCAGGCAATTTATTCAAAATATAAAACAGGTAAAAATAACACTGAACAGGTAACTGTTTAATTAAGAATACTCGTATATAAAATTTGCTTATACAGAGTAATCGTAAAGTGTCGTAATATTATTAATTATTTGTATTTTAAGTACATGTAAGGCAGATATGTTAGAAATATGAATAACTTTAAAAATACAATTCTATAATTCAGTTAATAAGTAAATACTTAATATATAATAATAGTTTTTACTTAACATATTTAAGTATATTTTTAACAGTGCAATAATGGATTTTATAAATAATAAAGGTTTTTGTACATTTCAGTTCTTAATTCAATATAACAATATTAGTTTTCTCTTTTTGCAATTAACCATCAGAACAAATTGCCTTGTTCACAAGAAAACAGTTCTATGAAATCATCATTGTTGCAATGTAATTATTTTTGTTGTAATTTTGAAAGGACGCAATTATCCCAACACACATAATTGCGGTGGAATGTAGAAGAATAGGTAGCAAATATTGAATTCTACGAAATTACTCCTAGCCATGTGTGCTACAGTCTTTATTTGGTTGAACACATTATTAATATGATGCTAATTTAGCATGTTGCGTTGAAAGTTATTGTAATTTGTTTCAACACCCATCAGTTCAAATCTGGACGGGTATGTCTGGTACGTGTTGCACGTTAAAATATCGTCAGGTATTTATGAACGGTAAGTTTCCCAATCCGGACTAAAAACGGAACACACGGGCAAGTCTCACTCACAACCATAGTAGAATAAGAACAAGTAGGGCTACTCCCGCCCGCTTGGCGCATCAATACCTACACTTCACTGGCAGCGTAGTGTTGTCACATTATTATGTTAGTTGTACCTGTACCTACAGGTTGTAAACATAATTTCAAAAAACGTATAGTATTTAGAAGTGTTTCCGTGCTATATTGAAATAATCTTTGTTAAATGCAATATGTACGTATATTGATATTTTTTTTATTTTTATTACCAGGATTGGTTTCTAGATTATGGGAGTATGTTTACGAAATGGGAATGCGTGCGAGTGGATGAGCGAGAGGCGTACGAGTGCGTGCTAGCTGTGCCAATCCAATATAACGACTTGTCTTATTCATAAATACTCGAACCCCTAGTCTTAATTTTTCAGTAGAGTCCTGTAAAGTGGAGTCGAGTCTTGTATACACATATAAGTAGCGCAGCTACATTTTGTATGGAGTTGCAGTATTGTTCTTATTATACTATGTCCCTTGGAATTACGAATATTTCACAGTCAATGCTTCACATTGTATAGTGTGTATGCACTCAACCACTGGCCTATAAATAATAATAACGCACACCCAAATGGCCCGCACTAGGGAAACCCTGTATCGCGGGTGCCATGGACACACATATAGACAAACACTAATTACACCTAAATTCACGAGAGAAATAAATGTAGGCCATGCAAATATTTCTTCCGGCGCGGGAATCGAACCCAGGACCTCTGCGTGGCAGTCCAGCAGCTTTCTATGACACAGCAGCATACAAAATTGATAAATTTAAGTATAATTTATTTATTTATTTTATATAAAAGAATTCTACACTTATTAAGGCGTCGCGTCCGGTGCTGGCAGATTATTCTACATTTACCTCAAATGGGACAGCGGTCAGCACTATTTAATCTTGACAAGTGAAATAAAAAACTAATAACGAAATAAATAGAAATCTACTGATGATGACGTCGCATTTTACGTTTTTTCTTCTTTTCGTCTTGTTCTGTGTCTTGAGGGGCCTCTTGAAAGAACCATGGTCCAAGAATGTTGACCCAAAGCAGCCAAAGTGCTCTGATGGGCAGTAGCAGCAGCAACAACCAGAAATAATTGGAAACTACTGCTAGGACGTGAGTTATAGAAGACAGTATGACAATGTCTTTAACGTGTCTGCAACAGAATTATTATATATTTATTCATAATTTAATATGTACTTATTAATAACAAACAGATTGAAGCAGACTGTTGATCGAGGAGAATGTTAGAGAGAAATCAGGATGGATTTTAGTTAGTACTTAATTTTAGTTTAGTTAGTGTAATTGCTTTAACGGCACAATGCATATATTACATATTTAATGATTCTAATAAATAGAAATAAAAGTACCATACAAATGTGCTAATTACATTTCATTACGTAACTGAGGCATTATATGACACCATTGTGAAACCTTTTCTAGTTTCACAGTGTCAATTGTGTCAAAACTAAGATTCACTAGGGAAGCACTTGTGCCAATTAAATATTTCATTATATAACTAAGCATTATGTGCCACCTTTGTGAAATCTTTTCTAGGTTCACAGTGTGATTTTGCTACAAAACTATGATTCACTAGGGTATCGCTTTGCATGCAACAACATAGTTAACATTTATCCTTTTTGATATCAGTTACATGCAATGTACATAGTATCAAATGACAATAAATGTTGTTGAATTTGTTGTGGCTCATTGGTGTATATATCTAGTGTGATATATCTACTGCTGTTAGATTTATACTACTTCCAAAGAATAATTTTCATAAACTTTACTAAGTTCATAAAAATAATAAAATAATTTATAGCTTCTACAAAAAATTACTCACTCCCCCATGCCACCTTCCATATTCAGGTCAAGTCCAGGGTCAACAAGTTGAGTATTATCTGAGTATATTGGCCGACTGATGTACCTCATCATTTGATAGCATCCTATATTTATTGACAGTATCAGCACATTGAGAAACTGTGAACAACAAATATAATTACATGTAACTCCCAGATGACATGCATTATATCATCCTATGATGTGTTTGCTCAATTACATTATCAATTACACCTACCTACATGAAACATGGAATATAGTACTAGGAGAACTAGATTCAAGTAGAATTTAAAGAATAAAGAAACATATCAATAACTTGTCTCAAGTGTAGCTAGATCAATATTAACACTCCATAAGTAAATATGGAGCTTTCCTTGCAAGCAATAGTTGTGAGTTATACATACATAGTATAGTCTGTCTTTTTTGAAGACTTCATAAAATGACAGTTCATCACACAAAAGTGTTGCCCACTTGCGAGCAGCCAGTGATTGCAGTCAATAAATATCCTACCGGCAATCGAGTTAATACTGGTCATGCTTATGGAATAAATAGTTGAACTTGTTTCATTTGAATCATCCTCAACCCATTATTCATCCATATTTTAGCACAAGTTCATTGGAATTGTTAATTTTTGTAGGTTCATAAATAGACTGTATTTAGAAGTATGTTTATGAAAAATACAAACAGGACACATATTTTAAAGTTTTTGTATATAAATAAAAATGTATCTCTATACTAATAGACCAACAGTCAAAATAAGAATAAAGAAGGCAATTTCAGAATACCATCATTTTTGGTAAAATTTTATCTTCTTTCACAATCTATTTATAACAACTACATAACTCATTACAATTTTATGAAAACTGGCACCCTACAAATGTCGTTTTACTCCATCTTCAAATAAGATAAGATTAAGTATACTTAATGAATAGAGTTAACTGTTCGCATAATTACAATAAGTGTGTCCCAGTAAACAATATACAGAGACACTGTAAAGTTTGTATGGACACAGCAGCATTTGATGCACTCTTAGCTGTATGGGTATTGATTAAGATGATATGACAATTTTGTTGACTTACAATGATACCAGTAGTGAGACTATCATAGTAGAGAGCAGCAGTTAAGACAGCATAAAAACTAGCTGCTCCTAAAGCCATGTTACGGTAGAAGTTGACAGTGGCAGCATTCTCCACCAAAATCTGCTTGGCACCTTTGGTAGGTGCCTTACCTTTTTGAGGCTGAAAATTAAATTAACAACCAAATTAATTTGGGTAATAATGCAAATGCCTTCCCGTGTAGCTTTAAACCCTAAGATCATTCTCATGTTAAAACTGCAAATTGCTGTAAGGGTATGACACCTGCACTTTTCCTACCAACTACTACTATGGTAAAATTATATTGAAAAATGTGCTCAGACTTTGAGGCTCACTAATCAATTTGTAGATTTAGGTAGGTATCTACAGGTTAACATTTAGATATTGGGACAAAAACATTATTGCTCTGTTTTTATTACCCAACTCAATTATTTTCGCATGGCTACCGTAACGTATAAATTATTGAAAACTAAACAAAATGCTACCTACTACTACTTGAATTACATTCGTTGAGCAACACCTGTTTCAACACGAACCGTGAACAAAAAACAGAATATTATGAATTATATTACAATAGAATCTTTTGTTTTTTTATATATTTCGAGTTTCTACAATGTATTAATTTAAAAAATAGGTTGAAAATCATTAGAACGACAATTTAAGACATATAAACTATACTCACAGGAGGCATGACTTCTGTTTAAGTAAGTGCAAAGTTTTGAAGCTATTGATTTTAATTAAATAATTTACTTAAACTAATTTGTGTTGTTCATATGTTCTTCATGTTACAATTAAAAAGTATTTTCGAAATCAATGTTGAATTTGCTTCTCCAACCTCGATTGTGACTAAAAGTCAGAAACAGAAAGAAACGTTGTGTCATTGCCCCATGTGGCAAATCAGTGTCAGTGCTAATTCGTTCGGAAACTATTCTATTTCTGATTACCTATGGGTAATTTCCCTAAAAGTTTGAAATAAAATTTCCCGAAAAATTGAAAGGAATTTGAAGGCACATATTATGTTGTACGTTTAGAAATGTGTTTTGAAGATTTAGATAACGTGAATTATAAAATAAAATTGTATGGCTACAAGGGTGCATTTACAATCCTGAATTGCAGTCCGCCTTGCCGTCTGTCGCGTTATGCAGGAATAGAAATGTAGTCGCAGCGTACAAGCCATCTTAGCATTGCAGGCTTGCAGGATGGCTTGCACGGTGCGACTACATTCATAATCCTACATTAGGCGGCAGAAGGCAAGGCGAATAATGCACAATGCAATGCAGGATAGTTTTAGTGAGTGAACAATACAATAGCGAAAAAACCTTTAATGGCTCCATCGTTTTCGTTCCCTAGTTTCAACTTTTGACAGATGTCAACGTCATTTGTGGAAAATAAAAAAGAAAGATTGGAAAAATATTCGGAAAAATAAAATAATAGGGGTTAAAGTATGAAATTGCCGATTTGTACTGAA